AACTTTACATAAATTTGACTGGGAAAATATTACAGAAGCAAAATATAAGACAATGCTCTACAGCTGAATCTTATTCTGCTAACAAAAGTTGTATCAAAGCTTACATATTTGTAATCTGTAACCCATGTTTTTCTTTTTCATTTATAGTTATATGTATTTTTGTCTTTAAAAATTCAATAAAATTTCTATTTAAAAAAATAAAAATAAAGATGCCTCCTTGCCTTTCCCCCAAGCCACTTCAGACTTGCTCGCTGCTGCGGGCCGGCCAGGGAAGGTGCGGGGAGGCATTTAAAGATGCCTCCCCGATCTTGTCTCTCTTCTCTAGGCGGCAGCTTTGGCAGGCCAGCTAGAGAAGGGAGAAAAGATGGTTTAACCCCCACCTGTAGTCAAGCCGGGGGGGGGGGCTCCCATTATTGAAGGGAAGGCAAACTTTAAACCCCCTGAGTCTCTGGAGTTCTACCACAGAGGAGGGCAATTTGTCTTCCCTTCAATGATGGGTGCCTGCCGCCCGGGCAGGAATCTGGGGGGAGGGAATTATTATACCCTATGGGGATGGTACCCATAGGGTATAATTGAGCCAAATAAATGCGGCAATACTGATAGTTCCTGAACCCCAGTATAATACCAATACTGGGATTCGGGAATATCGGCAAATACTGATATTTTTCGGGTTTAGTATATCCAAACCCGAAAAATACTGATTTTTTTTATTTGGTAAACATCCTCTTTATTTTAGTGCATTTCTTATTTGAAATAGTAGATTAGAATACTGATTGTAATGTAATAGAATGAGTATTAGAATAGTACATTGGGATGCATTTCTGTGGTCTGGTAACAGAGGAGACCTAACGCTGCACTACAAATCACCTCACCTCAAAGAAAAAGATGCCATCAGTTACCTCCATGCTTGAAAGGAGACAGACGGACTGTAACAACAAGGTCTCAGGTAATCACTCTTAGCAATCCAAAATCACTATGCAATTAATAGCTTTTGACAATCTGAAAGGTGCTAATAATTTTTTGGAAAAATGGTTTGTGTTTTTTGAATATCTTACTGCTTGTCAACCCCGATTATATGCACTACCTCAGAAATATAGAGACTTAGTGTTTTATTAACAAGTATTGTGCGTAGGCTCAAGTGGTTAAGACGCTGAACTGCAGGCTGTGGAAGGTCAGTAGTTCAGCAGTTCAAGACCCGGGTGCCGCAAGACGGGGTGAGCTCCTGTCTCTAGTTCCAGCTCCTGCCAACCTAGCAGTTCGAAAGCAAGAGATTGCAAGTAGATAAATAGGTACCACTTCAGTGGGAAGGTAACAGCGTTCCGTGCGCCTTGGTGTTTAGTCATGCTGGCCACATGACCACGGAAACGTCTTCGGACAGTGCTGGCTCTTCGGCTTTGAAAGGGAGATGAGCACCGCACCCTAGAGTCGGATTCGACTGACTTTCGAGCAAGGGAACCTTTACCTTTACCTTATTGTGTGTATGGATAAATTTCTCTTCTTGTTTATTAGATGCTGTTGAAAGATACTGTATACAACTAACAAGTAATACAGGATGTAAAAATATATAAAACTCAATAAAAATGCTATTTATATAAAAAAGAATGACAGATTTACACATATATCTCCAATTTTGACATATTTATTTGCTTCACTGTTCCCCCTTCCGGAATTAAATTCAGACATGGTGACCTTATAAACCCAGCTTGTTATTCCTGTTTGCACCTGTTAAAACATCTTTATTATGCTGTAGGCTTATTTGCTGCTTAACCTCTGCCTAATATGTATGGCTCCTGCCAACCTAGCAGTTCGAAAGTGAGAAATTGCAAGTAGATAAATAGGGACCACTTCAGTGGGAAGGTAACAGCGTTCCATGCGCCTTGGTGTTTAGTCATGCCGGCCACATGACCACGGAAATGTCTTCGGACAGCGCTGGCTCTTTGGCTTTGAAACGGAGATGAGCACCGCAACCCTAGAGTCGGATTCGACTGGGTTTTGAACCAGGGAACCCTTACCTTTAATATGTATGGACTGGTAACTTCCATTGAGGCCTGCAGCCAGGATTTATCCTGGGGGCCTTGGGGGTTCTGGGGGAGACTGCTGGTGCCAGGGGGGCTTAATTTACAATAAAAAATGTAAACCCCACGAGGGTTTAAATGTGCCTCTCCTCTCTTCCCCCCCCACCAGCCAGCAGAGCAGAGAGGGGGTGGCGGGGGAAGGGGGGCTGCTCTCTGGCCTCCATTGCCGGCTGCAGAGTCTTTTTCCTGCCAGCAAACAGAGAGAAGACTCTTCTGCAAGGGAGGAGGGAAATATTGTGAGGCTGTCCCTTTAAGGGAGGGGGCTGAGCCCCCAATATCCCCACCATAGCTACGGGCCAGCTTCCATTTCAATGTACCTGAGGACGTGGGCATGCACACAGAAGCTCATACCTTGAGTAAAACATTATGGGTCTTAAAGGCGCCACTGGACTCAGACTTTGTTCTATTTGATTACTTAATATCTAGTTTTATAGTCTTTGGTCTTTCTACCTGCTTTCCAACTGTTTTATGGACTTTGCTTCTGTCTCAGGCTGCATCATGAGCAAAAAAAAGGGCAACATCCATTTGGCGATCAAAAGGACTCTCTATTGAAGCAAAATAAAAATCCTGTATTAAGGGCCAGAACGTTTTCCCCCACAAGGCATATAATCGTGCATGAATTGACGCCAGGAAGGGGGGGGGGAACTCACACAAGAAATGGGAAGAGTGCTTACAACTGGACATAAGCGAGAACAAAACACACCACATCATTTTTACAAAATGGAAATAGATGTGACCAAAATCTGGATTCCGTTACCCCCTGGATTCTCCTCCCCCCACGGCTGGAATCCCAGCCCCCATGTTTCCCTTCTAATGCGACTGCAGGAGTGTGGAGCGTCTGCAATGGAAAAAGCAGGGATGGCTTAACCCTTCCCTCACTGTATTTACTGGATGCTGGTCTTTACCTCCAAGCCCTTTTTCCGCACATGAAGCTTCTAGGGACAGGGACTGGATACTTTTCCCCAGGCCTGCTGGGAAACCTAATAATATGTACAGTGGAATTTACTTATATATCATCCTTCAAGACCATTCTTCCCACATACATAGCCTCAGACTGGGAAATGGCAGTGCTCTTCACATGGTAGAAATAAGTGAGTTCTATGCTGCGGTAGCTCAAGTGGTTAAGACGCTGAACAGCAGGCTGTGGAAGGTCAGTAGTTCAGCAGTTCGAGACCTGGGTTGTCGCATGACGGAGTGAGCTCCCATCTCTAGTTCCAGCTCCTGCCAACCTAGCAGTTTGAAAGCAAGAAATTGCAAGTAGATAAATAGGTACCACTTCCGTGGGGAGGTAACAGCCTTGGTGTTTAGTCATGCCGGCCACATGACCACAGAAACCGTCTTCGGACAGCGCTGGCTCTTCGGCTTTGAAATGGAGATGAGCACCACAACCCTAGAGTCAGATTCGGCTGGCTTTCGAGCAAGAGAACCTTTACCTTTACCTATGCCCACCTACCATGTGTAATGTAATATGGGAAGGGGCCCTCTGTACAGAAACCTGTATACACCATTTGTCCAAAGAAAAGGGTAGCTGGATTAAAGGAAAACAGGCAACCAACAATACAAAACAAACATAAAATTAACATGTCCAACTAAGAGAGAAAATTTAGGTAAACTTTGGCTGTGGTCACACACACTAAATAATCCACTAGCAATCCACTTTCAGACTGGATTTTTATTGTGTGAACTGGCAAAATCGTAGGAAAGTCGATTATTTAGTGTGTGCGACCGCAGCCCAAGGAGAGTTGCATATGGAAAGGAAAGTAGAGCAAAAGTAAAGAAAGAGAAGAGCTAAATATGGGGTGGGACTTAATCCCGAAAAGCAGATACAGTTAACATAACAGCAAGCAAGCAAAAGATAGATTAAAGCGTGACAGAACGAACACCTATACAATCTCACGAAACACAGTCATTCCGGTTGATAGATTCCTGAGGCATGAAGGTACAAGCACATTAAAGGTAAAGGTTTCCCTTGCTCGAAAGCCAGTCAAATCCGACTCTAGGGTTGCGGTGCTCATCTCTGTTTCAAAGCCGAAGAGCCAGTGCTGTCCGAAGACGTTTCCGTGGTCATGTGGCCGGCATGACTAAACACCGAGGAACACCTTCCCGCCGAAGTGGTACCTATTTATCTACTTGTGACCACAGCCAAAGTTTACCTAAATTTTCCCTCTTAGTTGGACATGTTAATTTTATGTTTGTTTTGTATTGTTGGTTGCCTGTTTTCCTTTAATCCAGCTACCCTTTTCTTTGGACAAATGGTGTATACAGGTTTCTGTACAGCGGGCCCCTTCCCATATTACATTATACATGGTAGGTGGGCATAGGTAAAGGTAAAGGTCTCCCTTGCTCGAAAGCCAGCCGAATCTGACTCTAGGGTTGTGGTGCTCATCTCCATTTCAAAGCCGAAGAGCCAGCGCTGTCCGAAGACGTTTCCGTGGTCATGTGGCCGGCATGACTAAACACCGAGGCGCACGGAACGCTGTTCCCTTCCCGCCGAAGTGGTACCTATTGATCTACTTGCAATGTCTTGCTTTCGAACTGCTAGGTGAGCAGGAACAAGCACATTACTACTGCAGTAAAGCGCAGCGTACAGGTATCTCTTTGGTTCACTCGACCCCCCCCCCCCTTTTGCGAGAGAATAGCAGACAAAACGTTGAACGACCCTCCCTCCCTCCCTTTCTTTCCCACGGTTCCCTGGGGGATTTTAGGGGAGTGACGACCGAGTTCTCTTCCTTGGGTGAAAACGCGGACCGCGCGGACTTCCCAGGGCGCTGGTCTCCGCGCGGGGGAGGCCCCGTTCCGCCCCGCTAGCCAATCGAGAGGGCCGGGAGGGCCCCCGGAGGCTTGGCCGGTTCCCCGCCCTCCGCGCGGCCCTGAAAAGGACGGCGCCGGCTCCCCCGCCTGCCCACTCGCGACCAGCTCGTGGCGATGGCTCCGCAGCGAGAGGCAGGGCAGGGGGTGGCGCCGCCCGCCTCGCGCCTCTTCACCTGGGAGGAGGTCGCCCGTCGCGATGGCCGCGGAGACCCTTCGCGGGAGCGCTGGCTGGTGATCGACAGGAAGGTCTACGACATCACCCGTTTCCACAAGAGGCACCCGGGCGGCTCCCGCGTCATCTGTAGCTACGCGGGCCAGGATGCCACGGTGAGAGGCGGGGAGGGCAGAGGATGCGCCCTTGGTCTGAGGAGGACGCCTCAGGATCAGTGTCCCCTCTAAGCTGAGTGGTCTTGTGAGCAAAAATTCCACTTCGTGAGCTACTGGCATTAAAGTTGTGAGCAAGCAATTCGGCCAATGTATAATTTACTTTGCTCTGAAGCCCTCCTTCCTGAGCTAAGACAAAAATCTGTGAGTTGGAGGCTAAAAAACTGCGAGCCAGCTCACCCTAACTCAGCTTAGAGGGAACACTGCTCAGGATCAGTGTTCCTTCTAAGCTGAGTTGGTGTGAGCCATCTCACGGTTTGGCAGCCTCCGGCTCGCACATTGTTGCCTTCGCTCACGAAGGAGGGCTCCAGAGCAAACTGACTGATGCAGGAGCCCAATGGCTCGCTCACAACTTTTTCATGCCGGCAGCCCACCAAGTAGGATTTTTGCTCACAGGACTCCACAGCTGAGAGGGAGCCTTGGTGAGGACCAGTGTCCCCTCTCAGCTGAGTGAGTGTGAGCTAGCTCACAGCTTTTTAGCCTCCGGCTCACAATTTTTTGTCTTCGCTCAGGAAAGATGGCTCCAGAGCTAACTGATTTATGCAATAACCAGGTGACTCGCTCACAACTTTAATGCCAGGAGCTCACAAAGTAGAATTTTTGCTCATAAGACTCCTCAACTTAGAGGAAGCATTGCTCCTGATTGTTCCCTTCACAGTTTTTAAAGTGTCTGAGGTGGCCCGGAGGGTAGATTAGTCTCAAGGTACCTGCTACATTTGGAGGTTGAGTGTGGTCGTCTCCCCCCCCCCCCCCTTTCTGAAGTTTACTTAACTTTGATCAAATCTTGCGATCGCAAGCACTGGCTTCAGATCTTGATGAGGAGTCCAGTGCGTGACCTTGCACAGGTGATTCTGCCTAAAGAAAATAAGATTTCCTCATAAAGTTGAGTGAATTATTTTAAATATATAAATATTTTAATAACTTAAATTTTCTCATATCCATGCATGTTTTTGTGTATGAAAGTTTATGTGAGAAAAATAGTGAACAGCAACTTCATGAAGTGCTATTATAAATCTGCTTGATCTTTAAAGTTGCAGAAAGCTGTAGGATTGTGGGGATCCAGTGTGAGCAAGACTCACTTAAGTATCTTAAAGTATGACTGCCTAGAATCTGGACTTTGCTTAGCAAGGCAGGGGCTGCAAACACTATTTGGAGGATCAGCACATTTTAGATTGTAATCTTCAAAGAACAGAGCATTTCAGTATCTCTTTCCATTTGTACGCACCAGTTAGAATGGGAACTGAGCATGCAAATGTGTGGGGCCCATTATAGCTCCCCGGTGCATTCAGGCTCTGGGGTAGAGAGTGTGATTCAGATCATGGGATGGAGAACTGTGGATCAACCCCAGGCTTTCATGCTCTGAATCCTCTTTATGGTGAAAAATTTCAGAGGGTATCTCTGTCTGAATGTTTCTGATAAGAATTTACATACAGATAATGCTGTATGGAATATGTCCATTGGTGGTTGGGGGTGGATAATGTAAAAAAAAAAGGATTTGCTGTCACCATCTAGTAAACAGTAAGACGAATCAAGTGTATTCAGATCCTTCTCCTCCCTCCTCTTCCACCCTTATGATCAATCGATCAAGCTTGTGTAACTATTCATTCCTATTGTGGGTTAGGACTGTGCACCTTGCTGTCTCAAGGTGTAATAAATTACACAATGCCAATGTGGGCTACATCTAACTTACTATTCCAAACTGAAAAGCAAACTACTTCCAGCAACGGCCTTTCCATCACCTGCAATAAGGGGTTATACACACCTTAAACTGAAGATATTGAAAGAATGTATGTCTGTATCCCAACATCTTCTGGGCAATCTCTTAATAAAAGAAAGTATGCTTTCCATTAACTCCTTGAATCTGCAGCACCAGCCCTATTGCATCCCCTCTACAAACAAACCCAAAATGTTATGTGTATCTTATGATGTACTGCAGGATACAATGGGGATTGTTGTTGTTCAGTCGCACAGTCGAGTCTGACTCTTCGTGACCCCATGGACCAGATCAGGCCAGGCCTTCCGGTCTTCCGCCGTCCTCTGAAGTTTGCTCAACTTCATGTTAGTTGCATCTATGACACTGTCTAACCATCTCATCCTTTGCTGTCCCCGTCTTCTTTGACCTTCAGTCTTTCCCAGCATCAGGGTCTTCTCCAGTGAGTGCTCCCTTTTCATTTGGTGGCCAAAGTATTTGAGCTTCAGTTTCATTATCTGGCCTTCCAGGGAAGAGTCAGGGTTGATTTCTTTTAGGATTGACTGATTTGATCTTCTTGCAGTCCAAGGGACTCTCAAGAGTCTTCTCCAGCACCATAGTTCAAAAGAATCTATTCTTCGGCGCTCGGCCTTCCTTATAGTCCAACTCTCGCAGCCATACATGACTACTGGGAATACCATGGCTTTGACCATGCGGACTTTTGCTGGCAGGGTGATGTCTCTACAATGGGGATATACCGGTCTAAATAAATCCCATGTGTTGGTGGTGTTGTTTTTTTAATAAACTCAGGGTATTAATGTGTTTTGCAGCTTTTCTCTTCAACTACAAAAAAATCATTTATTGGAATAAATATTCCACCCTGTTCTAATTCAAACCCTGGATTATTCTTATTCAGAAATCCTAATCCATGTGAATTGAGCAACCTCATTGACTAATCTCACCTTTGGAAGTGCTAAACCATACTGTTGCTGCTTTCTTTCTTTTTTTGCAAAGTTGAGAAACTAATTCTAGTCTCCTTTCCATTTCTAGCAAGATTTGTTGTAATCAGTAATTTGTTTCATTAATTAATTTATTAAAACATTTATGACCTAGTTTTCTTCATGGTCAACGGAATGCAATTAAATAAATTAAATTAAAATATAATTTAGGCATAACAGTTATTTTTATTACAATTCTGACAGCCTTTCTTGCCCAGAAAACTTCACATTTTTCCACTGCAGCTTTAAAAATTCGGCGAGGTGCCTTTGGTGCCGGCGTCGGAGGTTAGGAGTTTGGGGGTGCTCCTGGACTCCTCGTTAACGATGGAGGCCCAGGTAGCAGCCACTGCCAAGTCGGCATTTTACCATCTTCGGCTGGCACGGCAGTTGGTTCCCTTCCTCGACCGGGAGGACTTAGCCACTGTGATCCATGCGACGGTCACCTCAAGGCTAGACTACTGTAATGCTCTCTACATGGGGCTGCCTTTGTCGCAAATTCGGAAGCTGCAACTAGTGCAGAACGCTGCAGCCAGGCTGTTGATGGATCTTCCTAGACGAGAGCACATCCAGCCTGTGCTGAAAGCACTGCACTGGTTGCCTATAGCGTTCCGAGTGCGCTTCAAAGTGCTGGTTATGACCTTTAAAGCCCTATATGGCCAGGGACCAGCCTACCTGAGGGACCGCCTTTCCCCACATATGCCCCCAAGAGCACTACGGTCCGGGACTCGGAACCTGCTGGATGTGCCGGGTCCTCGGGTTGTTAAACTGGTGACGACCAGGAACAGGGCATTTTCGGTGGCGGCTCCTATCTGGTGGAACGAGCTCCCAGAGGAGATCAGGGCTCTGCGGGACCTAGCACAGTTCCGCAGAGCCTGCAAGACGGAGCTCTTCCACCAGGCGTTCGAATAGGAGCCGCCATCATCATGGTACCATCTATGCCCCAAGCCTGTGGACAGGGTCATCATGATGTGGGCACTTAGGAGACCGCCATCTTGTTTTTAGGAATGTGAGCACTGGATACTGTTTTGTATGTATGATGTTTTAATATTTGATACTATTTACTATTTACTATTTAATATTTTTAATGTTTTATTGATGTATTATATTGGCAGTGTGCCTTGTAAGCCGCCCTGAGCCTGCGGGGAGGGCGGGATAAAAATCTAAATAATAAATAAATAAATAAATAAATAAAAGAATTGTCTTGCCATAATTTACCTACTTCATATGAGCTCACTGGTTTTTGCTACATAACTCAGCCACTGCTTCTTTCTAGGAGTATTGATGTTATTGCACAACCAGATCTCACTGGCTTTGGTACAGCGTCATAATTCCCAGAAGGAGAAGATTAGTTTGTGTGTGTTTTTAAAAGAATTTATGCCAAAGCAGCAGCTGGCTGGGGATCAGGCCCGTAGCTAACAACCTTTTGCTCAGGGGGCCCATGTTTTTCCCAGGGGGCCCACCACCAAACATTAGCATATGCCACACCCCCTGACATCACCGGAAGTGTGTCATAAGGACATTGGCGTCTCTTATGTTCTTATGTTACCTGCCATGAACTCTGTTTCCAGAC